TTTTTTTTTTTTTTTTTGTGGGGGAATTTTGACAATTTTATTGCCCCAACAAATTCAATGCCAAACTCGTTTGTATTAAAATAAGTTTTATATATCTTGGAAAATAGAAGTTTTTATTTAACCATTCAAGAAAACAAGTTTTGTTATATGGAAATGTTTTATTTTATATTGAGGACTGAAGAAAATTGTAGTTACTATTATTTTCCATTATCATCTAATGATTACAATGTCAATCTTCGTTGAGACATAAAGATTTGATTTTTAGTTAATTTAATTGTGAACAATAGAAAGCACGGATTACATTTGCTTTTAATTTCTGACATCAGTGATAATAATGTGATTGATATGAATCATATGATTTTTGTTCACACCCTCTTTACTTTTTTTGTTCTTTTCAGGGAATCTGTGAACAAAGTAGAATTTGAATGATCCAAAGTCCAACTTAAAGTATCTTATGTTGACCCCAAAAAATGAATCTAAAAATGAATCAACAGATGTCGGGCTCACTCACGTCAAGTCAAGTATGATTTCGACCTCGTTCCTACAGGAATGATGACGGTAGCACGAAGAAGATGGATGCGGGAGGTACTTTGCGGCGAGATACAAAATTGTTCAAGCTCCGACGGGTGGAAAGAAAGCAATTGCACTAACAACAGTCACTCGTGTTACGAATTGTGGTTCCATCTTAAAATGTCAAATTTTTTAAGAAAAGTAACTCAATCCTTTATAAGTTGGTTTATGTTTACATCTTTATTTGATGTGAGATTCTATCCCTTAACATGTTCTTGCAGGATGGTAACTCGTTTTAGCAGACCAATCTTGAAATCCGTATGCTCACTTTTGGAGTATTAATCGGATCGAATTACTCGTTAGAGTTTAATGGGCTCTGATACCATGTTAAGAATTGTGTGGTTCAATCTTAAAAGATCAACCTTCTTAAGAGGAGTAACTCAATCCTTTATAAGTTGGTTTATGTTGACATCTTTATTCGATGTGAGATTCTATTCCTTAACAACTCGTCGAAAGTAAACTAAACTATGTAATAACAAGAATATGTAGAAGGATAGATGAAATGTTCGTATATTTTCTTCAAGATTTCAAGTGTATATTTGGAATATATGATTGTCTATTTCTCCATCAATGATCCAACCTCCTACCTTCATTACAAAGAGGACATATTCATAATGTATTGGCCTACGTGGTGACCATTGGATCGGAACAACGTAGCCTCATCTCCCTAACTAATGCTTCACATAACTGTCTATTCATACAATTAATACATTGATAAAGGGTCAGCCACACTATACAATAGGCTGACATACTGATAACTTTATTACAAGTGTTACATCAATCACTTCTAATTTTTAATCTATTACAGGAGACAGCGTTGGCTTCATGAGCTTCAGACGAGTTTGAGAGGGCCTCGGATGGGCCTAAGCCTCGTCTCTGATGAGGTGCTTTAGGCTGGACTTCATTGCACCGTGCGTTAACTTCGGATGTCGTGTTGAGGACCTTGGTCTACTTGTCTTCATTGGCGTATCTGACCTACTGGGTTTCTTTTGACTTGTTGACTACTTGCAGCCGGCATCAGGCCCCACGTGGACTTGTTGCTTACGTGGCGTCCGAGCTGGGACCTCAGATATGGGGGGGATAACATCTTATATTGTTATAATTTTTAAGTCAGAGGGAGTAGTTCACCTGAGACGCTTATGTATTAATATAACACAGGTTGTCTGCATACCAAGCATACTTTTAGGAACCGATGTGGCGGTGGCAGCAGAGACTGGTAGTGGCAAAACTCATGGCCACTTAATTCCTCTTATAAATAAGCTATGTGGGACATCAGATGTACCGGAAAGTGAACTAGGTGATCATAAACTGAAGAAGCATCGCCAGCTTTCTCTTGTTCTCTGCCCAAATGCAATGCTTTGTGAGTAAGTGATTCGCATGGCTAACTCCCTTTGTGGTGATAACGACGAACCACTTCTCAGAGCTGCTGCCTTTTGTGGCTGCTAGGTTTTGAAATATGAGTACTAGTTTCATTATTGATCGAACTATTAGTCACTTGTGTGATATTGGCGAAATTCCTCATTCTGTATTTCTTATGAACGAGCAATTTCACTGCAGGGATTGCCAGTTAAACAACCATATATAATAATTTTAACACCGGTTGCACTTCTGAATTTCCTTTATGCAATCGACACAGAAAAATATAGACGCTCTGATTTCATATGTGGTGTCAAATATGTGGTATTTTCTATTACAGTGATATTATTTTATGATTTAGCTTTGTCAATGGATCTCAAATCTCTAGCCTAGTCATCTAATTTCCATTAACTCTTAGGTTTTTGACGACGCGGACTTACTTCTCTATGGAATTTTTCAGAACTAAGTCATTCGTCTCATAAACAAGCTTCGATTTGACGAGAAGCTATTATCTCACATGAAAAGTGCAAGTTCTGGTGAACAAGACTCGAATGCTGTTGCCCTGAAAGTCTCGGAAACTGTGTTGGAACTTTATTAAAACTTAAACTTTATAATCTTGTCAAGATTTTCATGTCAAACCATCAAGACGCTGGATTAACAAGGAACATACCTTAATCAATTGATTTCTGACTTGAATAATGAATCTTGAATCTGGATCTGTAAATCTTCAATTTGGTTGCTTCAAATCTCCATCTTAATTCTTGATTGTGGGTTTTATGGATCTTCCTCTTCATATGCTTTCCCTTGTATTCTTGTGTTGATGATATACCACAATGAATGAGAAAATCATACATGAATTGGGGACCATAATCCTTTATTTAATTCCATATGTATTCGGCCCATCGTCAAAAATTTCAACTTCGTTAGTTTTATCTTTTCTGCTTGATTTGCCCAGTCATACTATCTGGTAATTACATCTCAACATGTATTTATTCATGCAGTGAATTGGATTTCTTTTATAATGTTTCAGGTTGGAACAGAAGTGGATTGAA